AGAGAGAGAGAGAGAGAGAGAGAGAGAGAGAGAGAGAGAGAATGTGTGTGTGTGTGTGTGTGTGTGTGTGTGTGTGTGTGTGTGTGTGTGTGTGTGTGTGTGTGTGTGTGTGTGTGTGTGTGTGTGTGTTGTGCGCGCGCGCGCGCGCAAATCAGTAAATCCAAGCCCCGAACGCACAGCGACGCAGCACCTAGAGTGCCCGTCGACCGGAGTGGCAGCAAGTCTCACGTCGATCTAAAGAAACATGACAACTAATTAAAACAATAGAATATATAAAACTAAAAATAGATTAAAAAAAACTACCTATGGTTTACTTCATGCGGTTCTCCAGTCAGATACTAATGAGGAATTGGACATAAACCACAAATCGACTGGTAACTAGGCACGAGTGCGTCTTAGCTAGCATCGCCGCGTGACTTCAAGACCGTTCCAGCAGGTCGTCGGAAACACCGACTGGCCTCATGCGGAGAAGGGAGAGCGACCTGCCGTCCGTCTACCTGCAGATTCCAATCAAAGCCTCCGACCGCCACGAACGACGAATACGTGTACTCGAGCGTGTCGTCGCTGATCACGTCTATAACGGGCGTGACCGCGGACGTCCAGTTGCGACCAATGCGGTCTAAGAGCGGCTCCAGCCAACCTACGGCGAGAACGGCCAAGTGGAGGAGGTGGTCACGCCCGAGGGGGGGGGGGGGCTTTTAGTTGGGGGATCTTATCTTAGTTTAGGAGGCGGGGAGGGGGGTCTTATAGGACGAAGGAAATTTTCTTTTTCGGAGGGTTTCGGGGAAGACGTGTCTCCCGAAGAACGAAGAAAACTTCCTTTTTAATGGTGTGTGTGGGGGGGGAGGGGAGAACTTCGAAGGAACGATATTCTCAAAGAAGAAGAAGGAAACTTCCTTTTCACGGGGGGTCGAAGGAAGGATTTTGTCACTAAAGGACACAGAAAGCTTTCTCTTCGGCAGCCGTCGATGACGGGCAACTTACATGAAATAACAGAATACTTTCTGTTTTGGAGATGACTAGGAAGGTTATTCGAGAAGACAAAGAAAGCTTTCTTTTCTGAAGGCACCGCAGAAGGACATTCTCACAATTTCACGGGAGGCAGAAAACATAGCTTTCTGTGCAGCGCCGAGTTAGATAAAGAAAGCTTTCTACAGTACTTTGGAGACTCTAAGGGAGGAAATACTCCGTCTCGCCGAAAGCATCAAAAATAAATTATAACGGTCATTATAGCAATAATTTCTAAATCTCGTTCGCTGCTGCTGTGAGGGTGGGGTGGGGTGGGGTGGGGTGGGGGTGGGGACTGATGGTTGGAAAGTGGAATCCTAAAATCAAAACGATGATATAATACATGTGATTGGGACACTAAATACGAAAGGAACTTAAGAATAATAGTTACACAACAGACTATTTTTTTTTTAAATTCGGGGATATTCGCTGAAGTTACCTGTATATTCGCTGAAATACATCATTGCTCGAAATCGTTCCTGTATCTACAAAGTCATAATACACCTATCCTTTCCCGTATAAAAGGACAAATATACAGTACGTACACAAAAACACCTTTGAGAATCAAACAGTGACATTTCAAAACAAACTCGACACAGAGAGCTGTTCAATACAAGGCACACCTCTGCGCAACTTGGCATGAATAATGTGCAAAAAAAATAAAAAGAACATATCACTCACATCAATTGAACACAATGGAACACACACACAAATTCTGGGCGGTCTTCAAATCCTTCTTTTTTTCAGAGCCCGTGTACAACCGACAGGAATAAACGCTACAAGTTGCAATGTTAATTCCTACTCCACTTTCTTCCCTACAAATCTACAAGTCAAGAATATACAACATACGTCACTCCCCATGCCGTTTATGGTAACATTTTAGGTGTGGCAAGCATTTTTTAAATGGTAAAGCATCTACAAGAAAATATTCATGATGTCAAGCGTGATATATAGGCTTGATGATTTAGCATGTTTCCAGCCCATATACACGTCTCACGAACTAGAACCATCAACGTTTGAACAGAGAGTGTCAGTGTGTCTCAGAACCAGAACGGACGTCAGCGATAGCGTACAATGAGCCCCCAGTTGAATCCTCCGACCTGGACGTCTCGCGCCTTTGACAGCCTCGCCTGGAAGCTGTCGTCGCTTATGACATCGATGACCGGACACACGACGTTGGTGGGGTCGCGCGCGATGCGGTCGAGGAGGGGCTCCAGCCAACCTGCGACAGGGAGTCTTCAGCACGAGGCTCACTGGGGCTTACCTTGGCCGCAGCGCCGCGAGGGCAACAGGGTTAGTCACAAAAGACCCACACACTCGATGGGGATGATGTATACGCGCATACATGTACTTGGGTACGTGTATGCAGTATACATGCATACATACATATATGAAAGAAACAATGATACATCAGGTAATAATAAATGCTTGAAAAGAAACAAAAATCTTGTCAACGTTTGTAAAAAATAAAACTTGCATGGCGGAAGTCCTTTCCAATGTTAATTGTACGGCAGTCACACCCTTTCAGTTACGATTTGGTACTGAGAAATTCGCTGTAATCTTGTAACATACTTAGCTGTCTTCTTATGATCTTCTTAAGAAAACAAATCAGTAGCAGAGTTGAACAGGACCATCTCTTCAGTCATTTTAATAATTACTTCTTTAACATCAACTTCTCATATTTACATGATCATCTGACAAAAAGATCAACCTTTGTTGATGACTTCAATCACTTGATTATTCACTACCACAATCTACTCTCCCGACAGCACAATCTTGCGCACCCGAAGATCTCCTACACACCTAAAACATGCACCGGTTATCCCGGCAACACGCGGCAAAATCAGCGACCGGGACCAGCCACCCTCGCGGGAGACCCTGGCCACACTCCGCGGAGCAAATCAAGTCTCATTAGAATACCACACATCAGTCTATCTTCCTACGGGTGTCTGGGAGAAGAGGGATTCCCCGGGAAGCCTCTCAAAGCCGCCAAACGCACGATCCGAAGCGCCAACACCAGCGTGATCACAAAGGGGCAGGGGAAGAGACGTCCCACACGAAGGACTACGCGACGCCACAGAACACGACCCACTCACGTGACCACTCAGACGTACCTGCAGTCCCCAGTCAAATCCGCCAACGGCCTGGGTCTCTTTCCCATAGATGAACTGGAATGTGCTATCGTTTATAATGTTTATGTCAGGCGTTACGACATGGAGAGGGTCTCTGGCTATCCTGTCGAGCATGGGCTCCAGCCATCCTACGGGGCAAAGCAGACACAGATTTAAACACAGCTTGGTGGATTCGCGTCTCGATCGCCGGACTCCCGAGCGCCTGGGAACTTGAGTCTCTCATCTACAGGCAAATCAGTGATAAAAGTCCGTGCAGGGTGATGTATCGCCATGCCTCGTAAATACATCTGTGCAGATCCTGAGGTAAAATACATATCGGAGACAGTCAGAAAGACTGGAGAGTCAGTCTTGAAGTGAATTTCACAATAACACCATAGCTGCCATTCTATTCCAAAAACAATCGGGAATACATATATATTTATATGTGTCATTCCTGCAGGATTTACGCATTCGGTAGTGAGACTCATCTTAATCCAGAGGAATAAAACCATTTGTCATTTCATCGAATTCTCTGGAAAAACCTATTGTCAAGTCACTGTCCTTTTGTTCCTCCTCCGTTGTTGCCAGTAGGGGTCCATGCAGGAAATGTAAACGCTAGCCAAAGTTTTCTCGACGTTTAGGGGTCAGTGGCATTTCTTGTCGTTTTTCTTCACGTCGACTTGCTGACGATGTCTTCATTGCAGGCACAGCTAATCACCTGCTTCTGCTTGCTGGCACAGAGACAGTTTCTGGGTCTGTACTCACAATTAAAAGGTGAGCAGTTTTCAAGAATTCCCAAATCAAAGATAAATAAATAAAAATCTGAGAATAAGCATGATAAAAAGTAAAAAAAAAAAAAAAGCTCACTCCACAAGCACACGCACTCGCATTCCTTAAAATAAATGGACACAGAAAGAAACCCGTTGAATAACCATATAAACAGAAGTGAAGAGAAGTCAAACAATCACAAATATACAGAGAAAAGATACTCCCTAAAACTGAATGACAGTTTCTTCCCACATGAAATGGAAACAAAGAAAGAAAAGTGAGGAAAAAGAAAAGGAAAATTAGTACGCTCAAGATCCACTTGAAGCCTCCGACGGGCGTGTTCCTGGGCGGGGTGACGGACACACTCAGGTCCTCGGTGTTGATGCGTTCAATGACGGGGCAGACCACGTTGGTGGGGTCGCGCGCGATGCGATCCAGGAGGGGCTCCATCCAGCCTGCGGGATCGACTCTTCAAAACACGGGAATGTGGTCAAGGGATCGGGAATCGGGAATCGGGGGCCGTAAGCGCCTGTAAGATTGTGATGGACCTTCCAGCGGTGAGAGATGCGCCAATTTTGTCCTGAGTGTGTGCGATCGAGTCCTATGGCTGGAAGTGTCCTGCTAATCCACCGTATGTCTGTTTGGTCGTTCCTAACTGGCGCCGTCCATGTAAACCTGGTCGTGTCAACGTATCCTGGTACATGGACCATGAACCCTGTATGAGATGGCCTGATAAATCCTTGTTTAATTAAATCGGCAAATCCTAGGTGTGGGGTATGAGGCACACCATATATATCCTGGAGGGGGAAACCAAGGAGTCCAGAGAGATGTGGGTCCTCCTCCAAATCCTAAATCCTGTGCAGGTACACCCGGGAAATCCTGGCAAAAATGTCCAATTCATCCTCGCTGTGGCTGCCAGTAGATCCTGAGTGCCCTGAGATTATGAATCCTTTCCAGTATGACATCCTAATGATTCCCAGGCGAGACGGCCTCGACATCCTGGGCAAATTAAGACCGGTAAATCCTCACGCGTGAATTCACCCTGGACGTAAGTACTGAGGGTCTCTGCGAAGGGGATTTCCTTTCATCTTAACCGTTTTGTGTCTCCCACCACCTGCTTTATGGCGCAGCCCGGGGTGTTTCTGCTCAACACACACGTGTCCTTCACCATTCCCTCATTTGGAAGAAAAAGGAGGTTGGTATTAGTTTGTTTGAGAGAGAGAGAGAGAGAGAGAGAGAGAGAGAGAGAGAGAGAGAGAGAGAGAGAGAGAGAGAGAGAGAGAGAGAGAGAGAGAGAGAGAAAGAGAGAGAAGAGAGAGAGAGAGAGAGAGAGAGAGAGAGAGAGAGAGAGAGAGAGAGAGAGAGAGAGAGAGAGAGAGAGAGAGAGAGAGAGGAGAGAGAGAGGAGGAGAGGAGAGGAGGAGAGGAGAGGAGGAGAGGAGAGAGGAGAGAGGAGAGGGAGAGGGAGAGGGAGAGGGAGAGGGAGAGGGAGAGAGAGAGAGAGAGAGAGAGAGAGAGAGAGAGAGAGAGAGAGAGAGAGAGAGAGAAAGAGAGAGAAAGAGAGAGAAAGAGAGAGAAAGAGAGAGAGAGAGAGAGAGAGAGAGAGAGAGAGAGAGAGAGAGAGAGAGAGAGAGGGAGAGGGAGGGAGAGAGGGAGAGAGGGAGACAGAGGGAGAGAGAGGGAGAGAGAGGGAGAGAGAGGGAGAGAGAGGGTTGGAGGAGGAAGAGGAGGAGAAGGAGAAGAGAAGGGGTATGGAGGGGAGGGGAGGAAGAGGAAAGAGGCTCAAAAAATATATATAACATAGATAAGCATCATTCACATCCCACAAAAAGAAAGAAAGAAAGAAAGAAAACAAATAGTACCAATAACAACACCAAGAAAAAAAAAAACATGAATAAGAAGGGATAAAGAGGGAAGAGAGCGAAAAGACCGAAGCCGTGACACGTCTCCGTACTACGAGCCTCCAACTGAATCCTCCGACATGCACGTCCCGGGGCTTGAAGGTGGTGAGCTCCAGGGTGTCGTCGTCAAGGTTTCCGATGACGGGGCACACGACGTGGCGGGGGTCGAGGGCCACGCGGTCCAGCAGGGGCTCCAGCCAACCTGCGCTGGGGGGTCGGGGGAGGATGGCTCAGGGGGTGGCCCGGGTTGGGGGGGTCGGGGGAGGATGGCTCAGGGGGTGGCCCGGGTTGGGGGGGTCGGGGGAGGCTGGCTCAGGGGGTGGCCCGGGTTGGGGGGTCGGGGGAGGATGGCTCAGTGGCCCGGGTTGGGGATTCGGAGCTGATTGGCGGCGGTGGAATTTAGTCATTCATAATTTATTGATTAAAATTCTGATTTGGCTTTAACATTAATCTCTCTACATCTGTCACACGTACATGTACATTGCGTAATACCCAAATGTCTATGTATGTGGGAGAGGGAGAGGGAGAGGGAGAGGGAGGGAGGGAGGGAGAGAGAGAGAGAGAGAGAGAGAGAGAGAGAGAGAGAGAGAGAGAGAGAGAGAGAGAGAGAGAGAGAGAGAGAGAGAGAGAGAGAACAGATCGAAAGATACACAGACACTCAAAGAAGGAGGCAAAGGGCTGGAAAAGACCTGGAACAAAGGAAGAAAAGCTCACATGCTCAAGGAAATCTCTCCCAAACACACAGCAACAGCCCGGCGGCCCCAGGAAAAGAAACGCAACAAGGAGTGTGAAGACAATCCGTACGGTCAGCTGCCAGTCGAAGCCGCCCACGTACTGGGTGACTCCCTCATGGTTTATAGCGAAAGTCTCGGTTTCAATTTTGCCGATGCAAGGACACACAACATGGCTTGGGTCTCGCGCAACTTGGTCTAACAAAGGTTCCAGCCAACCTGTGTCATGAATCTCCTCAAGTTATGGTGTAATGGAACTCTTCATGTTGTAATGGGACAAAGGCAGCGTATGGTATACGAGGTTAGAGGCAATAAAACACACCATACACACTTTCTGCACTTACTAGTCCTTTCTCGTTGCGACTCTGTATTTTAGGCAAATGATACACTAGCAGCCTTTTCCTAGGGGTGCAGATTACAGCTTTATTTCAGTCACACACTACAAAGCCTGTGAGCGTTTCTAATATAAAATTACAAAACGTGGAAAAGCTTTGCTATATACGTATATATACCATAAAAAGAGGGATAAATACAATATTATTGTTCTATTTGTGGACAAGATATGTTCTAGGTCAGAGGCTGTGAGAGTGCACCCCTCCCCCTGCACCTGTCCCAGAATACTTGTAGAATCTCCTTACAACCACGTGTTCCGTCCGCCCTACCTGCAGGTGCCAGCTAAACCCGCCCACAGGAGGTACCCCACTCTTCTTGGCCTCTATGTACTGGAATGTGTCATCATGAAGCGTGTCAATGGCGGGGCACGTGACGGTGCGCCTGTCTCGAGCGATGCGGTCAAGCAGCGGCTCCAGCCAACCTACAACGACCTCTTCAGGGTTTAGTAATGCCTGAACAACAATGATGGTCGCAGTGACACTAGGCACTGTCGTCTCAAAGTAATTTGTATATCTTCTTTACTTCTTTAAGACAGAAAAAAACTAGGAACTTGTCTGCCTTGAAAGTATGTCTTCATTCACGCTGTCAACGAAGTCACGGATTCTTGCATTGGTATAAAAAAATACTGCAAGATCAATTTTCCTTTATGATGTTGCATTAGTACCCTCACTGCCATAATGCAATTCAAATATCTTCCATACTCCTCTGCGACAGAAAGAAATTGGGTCTTGTTTGCCTTAGAGGCATGTCTTCATCCGCACTGTCAAGGCAGTCATGGATTTGCAAACTGTCCAAAATTATAGCAAGACAAGTCATGCACCGTCTTGCGAACTTTTATCATATTTACCAAAGCTTTTTTAATCTTTGACGAGCCATTCTGGTTAAAGCTTTATGTGGTTTGTTTATAAGGAGTTACAGTGTTTTAATGAGCTCATCTTGCACACTGCATAGACGAACAGGCAGGGCATCCTTACCTGAAGGTTCCAGTCGAAACCCCCCACGGCCTCAGGACCACTGCCATATCTGTACTCAAGTGTGTCATCCATTATTAGATCAATTTCTGGGGTGGGGACAGTGGTGGGGGCTCTTGCTATCCTGTCAAGAAGGGGTTCCAACCAGCCTGAGATATAGAAGTGTCCTATAAGAAACACTGCCACAACAAGGAGAAGTGTATCCTTAACTGACGACTGCACAGAAGCAGATTACAGTATAAAGACTCGGTCAAAAAACGCTGGTAAGAATTTAAAAAGCAGTTTTAAAAAGTCCCTGTTTATTCCAAAATTTCTTGCACCATCACCAAGTCAATCTCCCAAAGTCATGCCAGTCTCACACTGTCATACCTTCAGGTACCAATCAAACCCCCCAACTGGGGGTACCCCCTCCCTGATGGCCGACACATACTCAAAGGAGACGTCCACGATAGAGTCAATAGAGGGGCATACTGCAGACTGGCGGCTGCGTGCAATGCGGTCCAGCAGAGGCTCCAGCCAACCTAAGACAACCATCACTGGGTTCATCTTCATGGCAAAGGAACTCTACATGGAAGATCCACAATCGCGCAATATTGTTAAGCAGTCTTTCACCAGACCTTGAACTCTGATGTAGGTAATCAGAAGGATTTTGTATGGCTGATAAATCTGTTTCTAGTGCATATTGTACTTTTCTCATACACAATGAATAATTATATGCATTCGTTTGTTATAATAACTAAGGGGTCTCCAGAAGAAAAAGGAAACATGATACTAAAATCAAGCTGTTCAAGAAAGAGAACTTCCACAGATGAATGTAGTTCATCAGTAAGAATAAGCTTGCTGGTCAAGCCCTAAGTCTTGGTCTTGTCTACTGTTCAACTTGTCCTGGCTAGTGGGCTGCCAAAATGCTGATCTCGAGTTGAAAAAAGTGAACAAATAAATAAAACAAAGAAGCTTCAACATTTGAATAATACTAACATGGATATACCAAGCTCCCCTTGTTCCTTCACCATCATTTGTCACCAAGCTTGAGCCCCTCTCCAGGCCCGACTTACGATCATGTTCCACTTGAATCCCCCAACGGAAATCCTGGACGTATCCTTATGGTAATGGAATTCCAGAGTGTCGTCCTTTAGGCTGTTGATCACCGGGCACACAACGTTAGTGGGGTCTCGGGCAATGCGGTCGAGCAGTGGCTCCAGCCAACCTGGTCAAGCAACCTGCAACTTGAGTGCCTGGTTTGGCTCCATGGCTATCACTCCAGGACCTGAGGAGGGAGGAGGGGGGCAGGCAGGGGGCACGGGACAACAGAACTGGATACTGCTTGGTTGATAGGATACACGCAGGGTTCAGGACTCTTGACGTTCTTGAAATGGACTTGGACAAGTACTTGATAGGACTTGGATATTCAAACAGGTCACTGCTGGATCCTGGATAGGACTAGGCACCGGAAAGCATATCCTGGATAGGAGAAGCCACTGGACAGGATGTCACTGGATAACACGAGACACCGGACAGGAAATCGCTGGATCCTCGACAAGATGAGGCACCAAAGGGTAGAGTGCTGGGTCCTGGATAGGATGAGGTACTATACATAATACTGCTGGATCCTGGATAGGTTTTCGGGAAAGGACAAAGCTGGTGACAAGTGCGGATAAGGGAACACACAAGGGAAACGGGAAGCTCCTGGTACACTGGTTTGATTATAAAACATTGAGCATGTAAATTTCTGATGAATGAGAGATACTCGATGCAATTCTTGATATTCAAAAATAATTTTTGGATTTTTCTTCCACTCTAGCACACGTGTTTTTCCCTTCTGTACCTTACTTTTGAAAAAAAAAATGTAAATATATCTGCAACTTAAAAAAATAAGGAAATACCTCAAATAAATAAAATTCATATATATATATGTATGTGTGTGTGTGTGTGTGTGTGTGTGTGTGTGTGTGTGTGTGTGTGTGTGTGTGTGTGTGTGTGTGTGTGTGTGTGTGTGTGTGTGTGTGCGTGTGTGGTACATAAATAATGCTGGAAAAAAGGAATATTAGCAGTATAAAATTCTTATGAACAAATATCACCTTAAAGTAATCGTAAAATAAAAAGACAAATCACAAAACAAAAAACTGAAAATAAGAAAATTAAACAGAATATACTAATGCTAAAAACAAAACACAAAGCATCAATTCCTATTTGCGAGCTTTGCCAACGACGACTTAGTTACCTTAAGCTGTGATGCTCTATGGCCTCGAGAGAGAAAGGACCCTTAGAAAACCTTTTAGAGAGCCGTTGTTAGTATTTAATAGCCTGAGAAGCCATCATGCAATTAGACTGTAGGCGAGGAGAGTAGTTATCTAGATGCACAGGCAAATCTCCATTGTGTTTCTCTCATTCTGATCTTGGGGGCGACTTCGCGCTGTTTCGCCACATTCGGCGTGTGTGCCCGTAGCCCTGTGGAGCGTCAAGTCACGTAAGAGGAAAGCCGGAAAGAGGGCAACTACCACTCCCTCTGCCTGTCACGGGCGTACGACTATGTGAGTGTGGGCGTGCACATGAAGGGCCTGAGAGCCACACCTGTAGGTTCCAGTCGAAGCCGCCTACATTCACCCCGGAGGAGTCGCGGTAGTGGTACTCGAAGTCGTCGTCGGAGATGACGTCAATGACAGGACACACGACGATGTGGGGGTCGAGGGCGATGCGTCTCAGCAGTGGCTCCAGCCAACCTAAGGTGGCAGGGCAGGTCAGTGTTGTCGTCCCGATCACGCTGCCTCACAGATGGTGGCACACAAACACACACAGGATACATGGGAAATGACATATCCACGCACGCACGCACCCACATGCGAACTTACACAAGTCCTACATGGCTTTCAAAACGTGAGTACAGTTTCATGTTTCACTTACGGCTCAAAATCAAATCAAACGTCATTCATTTGCACATCACGCGCTGTATATCACTACACGAACTGCATTTCATTTTTCCGACTGATACACAGTTACATATAAAAAAAAGTAAAAAAAAAAAAGCTAAAAAATATCGACAGTGCCACCCACACGACAAACACGTCTCGGCGGATGTGGTCACGGTAAGCGTCGCCTGTACGTACAGTACGTCTTTGCCTCGCTGGTCGTGGAATGTCGCATTCTCTTGAGATGTTTGCCGGTTAATATGGAAGATGTGACTGACATTCGTGAAGAAGAATGAGAGGATTAGGGGAGATGGATGGACACAGGGCAGAAGGGAGAGGTCGTCTAGGGAAGGACAGGGTCAAGTCGCGCTGAAGGAGAGAGGTGGAAGGTCAAGACGAAACAAAGTCCACAGTCTGAACCAACTAACATGCCAGACGCTGCACACTGGCGGAACAGGGAATATGATCCGGCATTGCCATGCAAATGAAGGGAACCAAAGTGAAATGACTATTTTTCTAAATCCGTTTGCCGTAGATTTCTTTTAATTATCGGATCAAAATCTACGGGAAACGGACACCTCCTTTCACTAAGTCACTGTCGGAGGAGAGGGTAGTTTGTTAGTACTTTAGGGTGTTGTAAGTATATCTGATTCATCCATATCATCGTGCTGAAAAGATATGATGTAACTCGGATGGGTGTTACATCATCCCTTGTACAGCTTATGTCAGGCAAAATTTATAACAAAATTATAGTTACACGCAGCCATGTTCATGTCTTTTAATGTGGATGAATCTGTGAGATGTACTCTAACCGGGTGTTGTTATAAATGAGACTGTCCTCCCGTAACCCTAGTGTTCTAGCTGACTTGCAAGTTGAGACCCGTACAGATTCCTGAGGGAAAGAAGGAAACCACGTGCGCACAAAGGCAGGCAGGGTCCGGGTACCTCCAGCGTCCAATCAAAACCACCAACGCTGAGTGTCTTGTCCTGATACTTGTACTCGAGCGTTGTGTCATCCAGAACATCAATCACCGGAGTGGCCACCGTCCAGCTGCTCCGGGCCACAGAGTCCAGCAACGGCTCCAGCCACCCTGGACCAGCAGCAAGCGTAGGGTTAACGGTGGCCATTCATACAACACATGGACAGTGCACAAAACATTATGACCTAAGATGATGAATTATGAATGGCCTACGAAGCAGCTACACCACATGATATCTACGCTCGCAGCCCACAACCTTCGTGTATGCCGAGTTGTTTTTACCATATATACAACACACGGAGTTTCATCATTGTGAACACCATGTGGCTTTAGTAGAAGTGTTTGTGCTTGTGTATGTGTGTTTGGGGGGGAGGGGGGGAGAAGGGTACCGAGGGCTGATACCTAATAGTTTGGATGGCTCTGCGTTTGGAGAAATTGCACAGAGGCGAGGGTTTCAAACATCTAAAGAATGCGTCGTGTATCGCTTTGTGGACGATCATGGGAGAGGGAGAAGGGGAGGGGGAGGGGGAGGGGGAGGGGGGGAGGGGGGGAGAAGGACGGAAGGAAGGAAAGAAGGAAGGAAGGAAGGAAGGAAGAGAGAGAGAAAGAGAGAGAGAGAGAGAGAGAGAGAGAGAGAGAGAGAGAGAGAGAGAGAGAGAGAGAGATAAAGAGAGCGAGAGAGAGAGAGAGAGAGATAAAGAGAGCGAGAGAGAGAGAGAGAGATGAAGAAAGACAGCGAGAACCCCAATGAAAAAAAAAAGAATCGGGAAAAACACAAAAACACGAAGACTTACAACCCCGACAACAGAAGCAAAGCATGATCGACGCGACAGCAAAATTAGCACCGGGGAGGATCTTGAGGAAGGGAAACGACGGCAAAACGCGATGGGGAAGGATATTTGCGGACGAGGGGAGCGAGGGGAGGAGGAATTTACGAGAGAGGGAAGATAAGGCGGATATTCCAGCCGAAAGGACAGCTTCCAGGCCAAGGGGGGGGGGGGGGAGGAGGAGGAGGAGGAGGAGGAGGAGGAGGAGGAGGAGGAGGAGGACGAGGAGGAGGAGGAAGAGGAGGAGGAGGAGGAGGAGGAGGGGAGGAGGAGGAGGAGGAGGAGGAGGAGGGAGGAGGAGGAAGAGGAGGCGGAGAAGGAGAAGAAGAAAAAAAGGAGGAGGAAGAAGAAAAAGAAAAAGGGGAGGAAGAGGACGACGAGACGGAGAGAAGGAAGAGGATGAGGACGAGGAGGAGGAGGACAAGAGGATGAGGGGAAGGTTGAAGAAATCAATGACTAACATAAGGAAGAAGTGTTTTGTGTGTGGGTGTGTGACAAATGCGTTTCTAAAAACTGGCCACTGCATTTAGTGTATAAGACTGTCGCAGCACTAAGAGAAAACTCGATCAGCATATCAGTTATTCCATTTATATTTATACATATATAAGCATTTAATCTACTGTATTGTAAAGGAAAACACTAAGGGCAGGAAAGCGTTTACCATACAGACACCCAAATAATTTATATCATATTATATAGATAGGTATAACCTATGTTTCAGAAGTTATGAGTTCCGAGCAACTACCCTATTTTTAGTTTTAATGCAGCTCGACATTTCTGGAAAAAAAGAGTACAGCGAAAAAGTATTAATGCTTCAACAAAGAATTACCTGCGTAGTAGTACAGCAAGAAAAAAAAAAGGAGAAATTCAAACTCTATTTGCAAATACGATGAATTTTCGCTTCAGGGAGAGATATGCTATAATGCAACTTGTAAATGCAATGGCTGCTGGCTATGTAACTGAAAATTGTAAATGCATATGATACAGTGTGATGTGGAAGTATAATTGTAATCTGTTCACAGGTACATATATCGGCGCAGTGGCATGCAGAAACACAGTTATAAGCTGTTGTTGGAGGAAAGGGCAAAAGGTACAAGGGACTCTATCATGAGGTTTCAAGCTAACTATAGAGGAGGTCGTTCGGCGTCTGGTGCGTGGGCGGGGTAGCCTTCTGCATGGGCGGAATTTCTAAGCTGCAAGAGAGGACCGTGGGCGGGGGGGGCAAGGGACGGGGAGGACCCCCTTGTCACCCGAGACTGTCTGGGCTGGACTTGCAAACCTAGGATGCAATGCAGAGTTTGAAATAGGGTGGACGTGGTCCTAAAATATAGCACTGGCGAATTATAAAAGGGAGTTAGACTGGATGCGCTGGCTCTGTGGGCGTGGCGGTGTCAGGGGAAGTGTCTGAAGAGGGGGGGGGGGCAGCTTCGGTGGACAGGTGGCGAAGGAGTACCTGCTTGGGTACGAAGTTGGGACAGACTGAATAAATGGATT